TCAAACTTACAACCCTGAGATCAAGAATCACATGCTGTACTGACTGAGCCAGCCAGGAGCCCCGCTTCTAGCCATTTTAAAGTCCCATTTGAATAGATCTAACACCTATATCATCTCTGAGTCTGACTGTCAGTTACTTTGATCTTCACAGGGCGTTGTCACCATTGTTGTCTTTGTTGTCGTCATCTTCTTTTTGTAAGTCATATAATTTTTTTCTTTTTAAATAAGCTCTACACCCAACATGGCTTAAACTCACAACCCTGAGATCAGGAGTTTCATGCTCTACTAACTGGGCCAGCCAGGCACCCCATCATATAATTTTTGACTGAATGCCAGATATCTTGTGCAAAACAGGGGAGATTAGGCAAATAGCCTTTATGCCTAGAAAGGGACACATGTCTTCTCAGGCAGTTTAACATGGTAGATGGAGTCATTCTAGTTAAAATGAGGCAGATTTAGGTTTTGCTCTTTTAGTGTACCATAAGCTTCAAATTCCTCCTATGATGCCTTGTACTTAGGGTAGGGCCTGGAATACTGGAGGCTTTTCTCAATGTTTGTTTTCCACTTTCAGCTCTCAACCTTCCCTATATACATTATAGGCACCACAGAGGTGGTCTCTCCATATTCTTGCCCCTCTGCCAGTGGTGGACTGCTGCTACTTATGTTTTTTGCCGGGGTGCTGGTGAGAAGGTGCAGTCGTTCTCTCTTGTCCTTTTCATCCTCAGTCGTAGGTAGTTTATATGTCTGAGCCTTGGAGGATGAGATTTTTCTTACTGCCTCAACTCCCAATCACACTCTGCTTTGTGTCTATGGCAGGTCTTGTGTGGGAAAGATTTTCCTGCCCTTCCTTTAGTCTCAGGAAACCTCTGAAAGTATGGGTATAGAATTCTGCGCTGAGGTCTGTTTCTTTTCCTTCCCTGTGGGGTAGGTTTATTTCTTCTTCTTCTTCTTCTTCTTCTTCTTCTTCTTCTTCTTCTTCTTCTTCTTCTTCTTTCTTCTTCTTCTTCTTCTTCTTCTTCTTCTTCTTCTTCTTCTTCTTCTTCTCCTTCTCCTTCTCTTCTCCTTCTTCTTCTTCTTCTTCTTCTTCTTTC